ACTACCACAGCCTCCACCAGACTGAGTCCAGCACAACTAGATGGTGCCCAGCTACCACCACCGACTGCTCTGACAGGGATCACAATAGAGCGTCCCAGACAGAACTGGAGAAAATGTAGAACAAAATTCTGACTCACAAAAAGAGACCAGACTTACTGGCCTGACAGAACCTGGATAAACCCTGAGAGTACTGCCCCCGGACACCCTTCTAGCTCAGTAAACAAGTCACTCCTGAGGTTAACCCTTCAGTCAAAGATTAGACTAGCCCATAAAACAAAACGAGACTGAAGGATCACACCAGCCCAGGGGCAAAGACTAGAAGGCAGGAGGGAACAAGAAAGCTGGTAATAGGGAACCCAAGGTTGAGAAGGGGAGAGTGTTCACATGTCGTGGGGTTAGTAACCAATGTTATAAAACAGTATGTTTACTAACTGTGTACTAATGAGAAGCTAAACCTTTATATCTAAATTAAAAAAAAAAAAAAATTCATGTGAAGTTTATCCAAGATGATCTGGGGCTCTTTTGGGAAAATCTCTCTCACTATTTTATGGTCATGTTACAGAAAAGGCTAGTTTCCACCAGAGTGAACCCATAGGAGGGAAAGTGCCATTGAAAAAGCATGCGCAGCTAGAAATGACACGTCTGCAATTTGCTCTAAAATATTCCAGAGGAAAAAGCATCTCTGTGCGGAAAATTGATAAAACAAGATCAGCAGAATCTAGGTAATAGCTGAAACTGGGTGGAGAGTACCTGGGCATTCATTATAATATTGCTCTACTTTTGTACATATTTGAAAACTTCCATAATAAAAATTAAAAAACCAAAACCAGTTGCCATGGAATCCAAACATCCCAACTCATGGTGACCCAATATGTGTTAGATTAGAACTGTGCTCTACAGGGTTTTCAATGGCTGATTTTTCAGAAGTAGACTGCCAGAACTTTCTTCTGCGATGCCTCTGGATGAACTTGAACCACCAACCTTTCAGTTAGCAGTCAAGCAGGTTAACCATTTGTACCACTCAGGAACTTAAATAAAAATTAAGGGGGGGAGGGAGGAACATTTGTATGATAGACTTCAAAGTGACAGGTAGAATCATCTTTGTTAGCACTTTAAAAACCTACAGTCATATTTATTATAGACTGATTAATAAAAATTCTAAGAAAATCTGATAATTCCTACCTTAAGACAGAATTATTTTAAAGATCTGGTTTAGAGTTTGAAATGTATTAAAGCTAAAGGTTTGAAGTATGCTATTTCAAACCAAGTATAATTTAAATGTAATTTAACTTTAAAAAAATTCTGTGACCATGCATCAGATTAAAATAAAAACGAAAATACTGGTAATCAAAATTAAACTCTACTCTACACAGTTAATAATTTATTTAGACTCAGATGTGGGTGCTTTAAAATTTAGTTATTTTGACCACGCGTATCTCCAAGAAATAATTTAATTACTGTATTTTTATGTACATAATGCATGCCTTCTATGTTTGTTTGCCAACGTGCCCTCCCCTCAATGAGGTATTTTTGTAAACAGCAACAGGTAAAAAAAAAAAATGGCAAGCGGCACTTACGAAAATACCTCGTGGGGAGAGGATGGGGTTAGCAAACACATGTAGAAGGTGAGCGTTATTTGCATAAAAATATGGTGCATGTGCTTGATTAGCTGGGAAAGGTAAATTAATATATAACACTTAATTTACATAAATTAAAAAACTAGCACATTATTACATGCAGGTCAAAATATTCAGTGACAACTTATTTTATTTACATAATTTAATGAACACAAACAGTTCCATCCATGTATTTAGAAGAGAGAATGTTGGAAAGAAGTTTTTTATGGAGTGGCTGATAAACATGTATAATATACATAAAATTAAGTACGGCAAAATGATTTTGCTGCTAAGAATGTTTATTTTCTGTAGTGCTGTTTATAGTGGTAAAGGGATGGAAAAAAATGTAATAAATGTTCAACAACAGAGGATGGGTTAAACAAACCATGACATATACATACAATTAAATCCTAGCTAGCTACTAAGAATGATGTTGAAGAAACATGTGCACTAACATGGGAAATTATTCACAATCTACTATTGAAAAAGGTTAAAATAGCACATTGTATATACTACACTTGGATCTTTCTTAAAAAGCATGCGTATTACCAGTGCCTGTGACTATGTATGATTATGGACTATATATTTTTTGTTTTTCCACTTATATGTAATTTTAGCTATTTCTGTAATAAATACTTCATTTGGCGAGATAAAAGGCATCCTGCTAGATGAACAGGCAATGAAAACTCACCTTTACATTTTCATGAATAGACTGAAGTTGTGCAGCTAAAGCTACAAATGTTTGATAAATTTTCTGCATAGCCATTGACAAATCTATAAAAGAAAATTATATTATCATACAAATATACATATGACAGAATAAGTTGTATTTTTTTTTTTATTTATGAGTTCAATTTTTGGTACTGTGAATGTGTACAAGAAAAAAACTATATGAATGACAAAGAAGACAGCAGACTGATAGACTGAGAGATGGAAGGCTACATGAGTAATCCAAGGGGAAGGGGAGGTGGATAGGCTGCCCTTGTTAACATAGACAGATCATAATAGAGCATTTTATAATTACTGGGAACAAAGATCTAGTCAAGGTCTGTTAAGAAAATTTTCTTATGGCGCTTAGGACAACTAAGTTAACTAAAATACCTTCTACACAACTATAGTTTAACTTCTCTTCTACCAAAATGAGTGTATCAAAAAAATTACCACAGAAGCATGTTACCTTGAGGGGTTATATGTGAATTATTTGCTTGAGTGGCAAGATGGTTTTCTAGTTCTTCAATCTGCTGTCTGTACTGCTGAAGCTGTACCTCAAACTGCTGAACCAAGATTCTGAAATAGCTATATAAAAAACATTTTAAAAATCAGATCAGATTTCTCACAACTTTTTCTTTATATTCTAAATGCCAAATAAATCAATAATTGCCCCATTTGAGTCAGCCCTTTGATTAGTTTGGTGACATAACGTATCTTTAAATGGCATAGAGGTCATTACTGAAATAAAAAGCTGTAAGTCATAAGCTATCAAGGTATCAAAAACAAATGCATATCCTTACTTGGATCATGAGTGAAAAACCCAAATTAAAGGGTATTCTAAAAAATAACTTAACACTCTTCGAAAGTATCAAGGTGATAAAAGACAAGGAAAGACTGAATAGCTATTACAGGGAGAAAACTAAGAAGAAGTAATAACTAAATGGAATCCTGAATTGGATTCTGGAACAGAAAAAGGACAGTAGCAGAAAAATTGGTAAAATTCAAATAGGGTCTGTAGTTTAGTTAATAGTATTATATCAATGCTAATTTTTGTTCTTGATACTTATACTATGGTAACATAACATGTTAACATTGGGGAAGCAGAATGAAGGATATAAGGATATTCTTGGTACTAATATTTTTGCAAATTTTTGTAAGTCGAGAATAAGTTCAAAATAAAAACATTAAAAAAAGAGGCACAATTATCAAATAGATTTTTACAACCAAGTATTTACAGGTCTTATGTTAACAAAACATAATATGAAACACTATAGTGTACAATAAAAAGAGCATGTAATTACTGGACTATTCTGATAAATTTAACTACAGAGAATGCCAAGGAAGATTTAAAAAAAAAGGACCTTGTATAGCATGCAAAGGAGTCTGGACACGATTCTGTAAGAAACAGGAACCTGTGGAAGCTTTTTCAGTGGAAAATGATACCATTCAACCCATTTCAAAATTAGCTTTAACTGCAGTGTGAAGAACAAGACAGAGGGCTACACCATGTTTGAGAAAGTCCAGCTAAGAAGCCAGTATAACGTTATGTCACAGTGTTGATAGCTAACAACAGGCTATTACAACATGTGAGAAAGGACAGGGCACAAATCTTGGAAGACTGAATAAAAAGGGTACAGGTCAAAAAAAAAAAAAAAGGAAAGAAACATAAAGCTAAATGTGAACCTTAAAACAATATACATGGAATTACATTATTGCATTAATTTGATGTTTTATTAAAGAAAAGAAAAAAAAAGAAGCTCCTGTCGTATACCATACTCCATGCTAATCCAAAATAAAGCCTGTACATTAGATATAGGAGTATCATTGTCATTGTTAATTTCCTGACTTTGGACTTTGATAATTGTACTGCAGTTATATAATACCCTTCTTTTTAAGAAAAACACACTAAGGTACTTAAGTGTAAAGGAGCATCATGTGCGTAAATACTTCAAACTGTTCAGGAAAAAAATGTATATACACACATAAATAAAGAGAGAGGAGCAAAACTAACATGGTAAAAAATGTTAGCATGCAGGGAATCTGGATTAAAAAGCATATGAGAATCCTTTGTTCTATTCTTAAAATGTCTCTAAGTTGGAAATCGTGCCATAATAAGAAGTCAAAGAAGAAAGAAAAAGACCTCTACCACTCACAAGCTCACAACTTCACCTCGTTAAGCCTCAGGCTCCTCATCTCTAAGACTGGAATAATTGCTATAATGGTTTTGTGAAAAAGACGAGATAAAACATGTAAAGTGCTAAGTATACTGCTTGCCATACAGGAAGCATATGATAGATATTAGCTATTATCATCTCTATCAACATGGAAGGATATTAAAAAAAGAGAGAAGATATATCACATGTATGAAAACTAGACATACAAACTAGCTGATGAGAATAAATGTGGACTTTCTCTTTTACTTATTTTCTAGTTTTTCTTCCTGAACATGTATTACCTGTGTAAATAAATAAAAACTATGCTTAGTATGTCCTGCTTAAGGATGGGACTATAACAAAATTATTTCTGATTTAAAAATGCTAATGAGTAAAAATATTTCCTCTACTTGCAAAATTTAATAAAGTGGAATAGACTACTTCCTGTGAGTAGCATTTAAATGAAGTGTAACTGCATGATAGCGGTTAAAAAATTAGATCTCTTAGCCTTCAGTAAAATGGGGATAACAAACTACCCTCTTAGGGTTGTCAGGAGAATTAAATTTAAAGATCTATGTAAAGTGCTTATTAACCCAGGCCTGCCACATAGTAAACAACTAAAAATTCTTGGCTTGTTTATTATTACTGTTCTGCTTTCTTAAAGTAAGAAACATTCGTTTAAAAAATTCAATAACTTACTCAGCAGGAGCTGTATTTTCATGTTGAAGTCCAGGTGGTGTTTTCTGGGTCCTTAAAGCTATTTCAGCATTTTTTAACTCCTAATATACCAGAGGTTTAAAAAAAAAAAAAAAATCCAGTTAGACTAAAATACCAACTCTACCTGGACAGAGATTTCATGCCATTTAAGTTCATGCTATGAGAATATATCGTGGATGAAGCTGCTTCATAAAAAGTCGCTTTCCAGAGAAGGCAAATTACACTTTTGCACTGTTATGGGTTGAACTGTGTCCTCCTCAAAATGTGCTGTAAATCCTAACCTTGTGGTTATAATCCCATTTGGGAACAGGTTTTCTCTGACATGTCAACGAGACCAGATCAGTGTAGCTTGTGTCTCAAATCAATCTCTTTTGAGATATAAAAGAGCAGATTAAGCAAGCAAGCACAAACAGAGGGCAAGATACATGTTCACCAAGGAACCTAGGAATAGAAGCTGAAAAGAGACAAGGACTTTCCCCCAGAGCCAACAGAGAGCCAGTGCCCTGAATTCGGACTTCTAGCCTCCTAAACTGTGAGTAAATAGATTTCTGTTCAATAAAGCAACCCACTTGTGGTATTTCTGTTATAGTAGCACTAGATAACTAAGACAAACATCCTTTATGGTACAATTATGATGAGCTGTTATCTACTTAAGAAACTATAGATTTCCATAGAGTCCATGAAGTTAACTCATTCAGAATGAACAAGTACACTACTGTTTTTAAAATCTTCTTTACTATAATATGTAGAAAATGCTATCTAAAAAAAGGAAGGTAGTAGTGACAATAATATTGAGGCTGATGATGGCAGCAGTTAACATCTGGAATGCTTACTATGTACCAGGCACTATGATAAATGCCTCACTTATATCTTCTTGGTTAATCCTTGATAATAACCCTAACGTAGGTGCTAGGACTCCCTGGGTGGTGCGAACGGTTAAGTGCTCAACTACCAGCTGAAAGGGTGGTGGTTCAAACTCACTCAGAAGTACTTAGGGAGACGGCCTGGCAATCTGCTTCTGAAAGGTCACAGCCTTGAAAACCACATGGAGCACAGCTCTACTCTGACACACATGGGGTCGCCATGAGTCGGAATCTACTTGACAACAAGGAACAATGCAGGTACTACTGTAGGTACTACTATAGGAACTATCCCTTTTATTGATGAAGAAATTGAGTTAGAAACATTAAGGAACTCACCTATGCCATGTAGCTGGAAGAACTGCAAAGTGAATCTAGGCAGCTTAATTCCTTTAAAGCTTACACACTTAGCCATTCTTACATTGCCTTCTACTGTTCCTCAACACCATTTCTATCATCTAGCCAGTGGTTTTTGAAGATTAACATTCTGCTTTACTCTCTTACATTTCATTCTTATCATTTCACTGTTTTTCCAACCATTATTTAAGTTTCTCCTATTTAAAAAAAAAAAAGTACCTTAAGTTTATATTCCCCTCTAACAACCTTTTACTGCCAAGCCTCTCAAAAAACCGAAACAAACAAACAAAAAACTAGGTATAATTGTTCTTTCCACTTCCTTTTCAGTCTTCAGCTCCGGCTTCCATCCCACCCTACTCTTGTACAAAAGCTCTAGACTATGCAGACTCTGTCCCCTGCCTGCCTCTCTAAGCACTGACACTTGCCAGGCCTAGATACACACCCAGTGCTCCTATAGAATCAAACCGCTCGCAGGTCCTCAAAGACGCCTACTTCACGCCTCCATGCCTTTCTCACCTAGCTCCTTTTGCTTGGAATCCCCTCCCTCACATTAGTCTTCCTTCCTACCAGCCTGGGAACACCTGCATATGTTTCAAGACAAGATGCAAAAGTATCCTAGTCGGGACAGATGATAAAAGTGCCCATCTGAGCCCTTTGTGCTCCCTACCATACCGTATACCTGGAACACAATACCTGACTGATACATAATACTTCCCTATATACTGCAAGTCTTTTGATCCCGAATGTTTGTTAAAGTGCGTGGTACATAAGAGACTCTTAAAAAATGTTCACTGAATGAATGGACGCTGCAAAACTCAGCAATATAACTTCAACACCCCTTCTGGCATCCTCCCTCCACTAGCCTCCCAACAAAAGAAAACTTTAACCACCCAACTTATTTACACTCCGAAGTTATCTACCAAAGAAACGAGGTCTATAAAAGACATTGTTTTATTTGCCATAAGACTCTGGGCTCCAAAACTGCAATATCATTCCTCACTCCAGAATTACTGAGTTCTTGTATTTCTCAGAAAGGCTTTCTTTGAAGAAAAAGTTTTTGGGTTACATAAGACTGATATAAAGGTTGAATCATTAAGGTATTCAGAATACTTTTTTTCAATTGGTAATTTACCAGATTCTGGGTATAGCAATAGTTCCTATATATTCACTATAAAAGTATGTAATATTTTATCAAATTAGGTGGTATCTCCAATAAAATTTTCTAAACAGCACAGATGATTTCTCCTACAGGAAATTTTCTTTGACCCCTACCCTCTTCTTCCTTTGCCATCTTTGTACTCTACCAAATTTTTTATTATTTCACTAGAGTTTTAGTACCATATGAGTTGTCTTCTCATCCCTGAAAGACTATTAGCAAGTCTGGCACATAACAGGTATTTTACGAATATTTGTAAATGGAATCATCCAGTTTTAGAGTTACAATGGATCCTATCAAAGACAGTATTTATTTCTTTTCCATTCAAGTTTGCCTCCTCAACCTTTGCTAATGATCTTTTTCATGTTATTTATATAATCTCATATAATTCATATCAAAACCAAACCAAACTCGTTGCTGCGAGTTGATTCTGACTCAAAGCAACCCAAAAGGACAGAATAGAACTGCCCCATAGTGTTTCCAAGGAGCAGCTGGTGGATTCAAACTGCCGACCTTCTGGTTAGCAGCTGTAGCTCTTAACTACGGCGCCACCAAGGCCGCATAATTCATATACGATTTATAACTTCATATAACTTACGTATAATGTTTATGCAGATTCTTAACATTCTCTACAGTGTAAAAGCATAACTAACATTTTCTTCCTCATAGAAAGTCCGTATCTGATGATATGTAAGGACGAATAAGTGGGGAAGAAACATGGGGGACTATTTTATTCATATTTAACCAAAGAATTTATAACAGACTGGAAAATCTGAGTGCAGACAGCAAAGTCTTTGAATTCCCTTTAAAACATTTCATAGTTTAGTCTGCTTTACTCCTTCACAAATAGCTATTTAAGTAACACAATATTTTTATAAACAGATCATAAAATAGTCTCTAATAGCTGACTTAAAGACATATAAACCTGTTGCCATAGAGTCGATTCTGACTCATACAGACCCTATAGCAACCCTATAAGACAGAGGAGAACCGCCCTATAGGGTTCCCAAGGCTGTAGTCTTTATGCAAGCAGACTGCCACATCTTTCCCCTGCGGAGCGGCTGATGAATTTGAACTGCTGACCTTTCAGTTAGCATCTGAGTGTTCAACCACTGTGCCACCAGGGCTCCTTTAAAGACATACAAGTACCTCACCAAAAAAAAAAAAAAGTCCTCCAAGGTCAAGAAGGGAGAGTGTTGACATGTTGTGGGCTGGTTATCCAACGTCATAAAACGGTATGTGTGCTGTTTAATGAGAAACTATTTCTATAAACCTTCATCTAAACTACAATAAAAATTTAAAAAAAAAAAAAAAAAGATACACAAGTGCCTTGAAAATTTTTACTTAAATATTAGGAAGAGCATAATATGAGAAGCATAGCATTTTGATGAGCCAACATTAAAAAGGCATATCACATGAAGTTCTTTAACACCAGGGTCAACTTTAGGAAAGGTTTCTAGACTGCCATGATCAGATCAAGTATATTTTATAATTGTGATATATAAAACACAATTACCTATCATCATTCTTCCCCAGTAAAGTAGAAGAGAATTTCCCTTACATTATATTACAAGTAGACATAAGTAAGAGAAAGTATCAGCCTCATTACAATTTTTATTAACTATGATATAATAAAGTTATTACCAACTTACAATTTTTATATAACTGACAGGTTAAAAAAAAAACATTATTTCCTTCTAACTACCTATTTGTCATCTTGTTTAATATAGTAATTTAGCCAGCAGGCACTCTTAAGAAACAAAGCGATTAAGAGCATTAACTCTAGGGCTGGATTGCCAGGATCTGAATCCAGACTCTTCCATTTAGTAACAAAGCACTCTGCCTGTTTTCTTACTTATAAAATGAAGGTAATAATAGTATCTACCTCATACAGGACTGCTGTGAAAATTAAACTGGGTTATATACATAAACTGCTTAGGACACTGTCATGTACATAGTAAACACTCAATAGAAACTATCCATTATCATAACAATTCAAAAGTATATAAGCTACTTGATTTCTTACAGTATGTCTGTACTTAACTTCATAATTACCAAAAAAAAAAAAAAAAAAACTCTATTCCCATTAAACGAATAATAATGACGACAACCTTAGGATAAATGTAAGTTAGTATACCTGAGCAGTTTCTATTTTCAATTTGTCAATATTGAGAGTGTTCCTCTGCAGTCCACTGGCAGCCAAGGACAGAAGCTGCTTTAGAGCTTTAATATCTTCTTGCACCTTAAGCATCGCTTTTGAAGACATTCTACTAATTTCTTCTTGGACCTGTTTTTGTTCTTTCACAAATTTCCTAAAAAAAAAAAAAAAAGAAGTGAGTTTAAACAACAAAAAAAATACACCTTTGGCTGCCTACACACAAGAAAAGTACATTTAAAATAAGTTGGTCAAAGTCTAAGAGTTTAAAAAACAAAAACTAAAAATCATCAATAGTTCACACGCTTTTTAAAAGAATGGCAGTTACTGTATTTTTATTCCTGTTGTTCTGCTTTCTCTTCCAATTTCCAAAGCATTAAAATTTTAATCCAAGCTAAACTGTTCAGGAGGAAAAGGAGATGTTCCTCATAAAATGTACTCTAGAATTCTTCAAGTATTCCTTATCTAATTGTATTTGACACTTACTGGAGATTTTCAACATCCTGGCAGATGACAGGAGGTAGATTTTCATCCTTCAGTGCTTTACTATCCCTAAAAAAAAAGCCACAAATGTATTCAAATCATTGAGATTAAAAGAATTGACAGCTGAATTTTACTAGAGTATGAGTTAAGATAGGACAAAATATAGCAAATGTTCCCATTTACAGCATCCCTGGATGATTTCAAAGTTCTTTATAAAGAACAATAAATTTCTGATGTATAAAATAAAGATATTTTAATAATTCATTTGACATACAGACTTCTTATCTAGGAAGGCTGGCGCATACTATAAACACTTAAAATGAAAACATTTCATCAAATGGTTAAGAAAAAAATCAGACTGGGTGAGATGATGAACTAACTCGTGCCCAAGTTTCCTCTGGCCTAAAGATTCTGATTGATTTTTTACTCAATTCAAAATACTAAAGCATTCATTAAAGGAAGTCTACAAAACTTTTCATAATAAGATGTTCAAGTTATTATTTGTTCTTCAACACGCACTGGAATAAGAAAATATGACCTAGGGATAGCTTAAGGGAATCACAAATATTCAGGGAGGACCAGCCAAGTCAAATTTGGCATGCTGCAATGCAATCATGAGGTAGATTTCAACGCAGATCTGCTACTGCTAACCTCCTCAGTATAACCCTCAGTCTCCCTCAGCTTCTTCACTTATGTCACAGAGCTAACGTATACACAAGGTGTTTGTGAGTAGTGTACTTGATAATTTATTTACAAATGCTTTAATGTAATGTAAATTCGGTGAGAAAATATAATGTCAACAATAAGTAAAACTCTTTAAAATATTTTAAAGTTAAATTGTAAACTTACTCTGGTCTTGTTCCTGTTTTATCACCTAGAAAATACAAGAGGCTTCATTTAAAAATAGGTTAATATAGTAATGTATTGCAAGTACAAGTTTTAAATTAAAAATTTTAATTAATTTAAGTTAATACAAGTTTTAAATTAAGATATAAGCAAAAGAAGCCTTGTGGTGCAGGGGTTAAGCACTCAGCTACTAACCTAAAGGAGAAATGTGTGGCAGTTCGCTCCCGTAAAGATTACAGCCTTGGAAACCCTACCGGACAGTTCTACTCTATCCTCTAGGGTCGCTATGAGTCAAAACCGACTCAACGGCAACGGTTTCTTTTTTCTGAAAACTTTAAGTACGTATGGTTAAGCACGCATGAGATGGCCTCTCAGGTCATGTCATGATTTGTCATGAACTCGGAAGAACTGGCATGTCAACCAGACAAGTGACACAGCTGGTTTTCATCTACTTCTTTCAAGGAAAAGAATCTTCTTTTCTCAACCATCTTCCACAGAAGACGTCCTGTATGGATAGTTTATATTCTTGCCTAGTAGTTTAACTCCTATGTAGCTTTACTTGACATTTTTCAGGCCCTATCAGTAGAGAATAGAATACTGTAACACTATAATTACTTGAACTTCTCCAAATATTTTATAAAACAGCAAACTAAAAAGAAAAAATTTAATGGCTGCAGACATTTCAACAACTCCCTCAATAAAAACAACTAATTGATAATTATTATTGGTAGTATTTACCTAAAAGTAGAAAAGTAGAGTGCTCTGTTAGCAAAATAATGACACACTGATTCGCATTCTGCTTTTCTCAATTTATCTCTGACTACTAAATAAGGACAGCTTTTTGAAGAAAATATATGGAAAATACAGAAATGAAAATTTAATCCCAGCAAACAGAGGGAACCACAACGGCTCCTTTCAGTCTTTTCCTGCAATTATACGTACATTTTTAAAATGCAGTCATGATTAGTATATGTTAATATTTTAACTATGTTCCCTGCATGCTGTGAATATTTTCCTATGTCACTTAAAATGACCAGGGTATTGTAGCTACGTCATAACCTCTTATTATCATTTTTTACTACACCTTCCTCTCACTTCTAGACCTGGTTAGGTTCCAGAGACCAGATTGTTATGCGAAATTGGCATTATGCAAAAATGGAAAATGACCACATCAGATCACAAAAATGGAAGATGGCTACATCATTACACAACAGCCAAATTACATCATTACACAACCGCCAAACCACTGAGAATCATGGGCTAGCCAAGTTGACACATATCCTTAACTATCAAAGCCAGCATTACTCTTGCCTCACACCTCAGTTTTCGTTACTGTCAGACATATGTCATTCATGTGCAAAATAGCTGGATAGTTGATTTTTCACTGTTGCTTAATTGTGAAATGTCAGATAGTGAGACAGTCAATAAGTGAGAAGAAGGTTATGTAAATAGTACTTCTGCAATGAATGCCTTTCTCCACAAATACTTGTGCACTATTATATTTGTATTCCTAGGAGAGGACTTTATATGTCAGAGTCTGCCAAGGAAGGCCTATGACATAATCCCTTAGAACAAATGTCCCAACTTACCTTCCCATCTAGCATGGATAAGAGTAGGTTTTCATTAACACCCTTAACAATAAACATCATATTTAAAAAAAAAAGCTTTGCCAGTCATGTAGATGAAAAATGCCACTTCATTATAATTTTAATTCATATTTCTGACAGTACTAGAGATGTGAAACATTTTTTTCAAATGTTCACTAGACAAATCAATGTCTTCTTCTGTGAACTGCTTGTTCATATTTATTTGCTCATTTTTCTATTGAGGTGTTTTTCTTACTGATTTTTAAGAGCTCTTTCAATAATAAGCATATTAATTCTTTGTCTCATGTATATAATATTTCATGTGTCTATTTCTAAAATTATGAAGCCCTGGTGGCACGGTGGTTAAGCACTCAGCTGCTAACCAGAAGGTTGGTGGTTCAAACCCACCAGCTACTCCACAGGACAAAGATGTGGCAGTCTGCTTCCATAAAGATTTATGGCCTTAGAAACCCTACAGGGCAGTTCTACTCTGTCCTATGAGGTCGCTATGAATCATAACTGACTTGACGGCAATGGGTTTGGTTTTTTGGTATTTCTAAAATTAGATCCTTATCTCATAATTGTAAGACATGTCTTAATTTCAGAGATGTCAAAATATGGAAAAAAATAATCACCTAACAATCAAGTAATTTACTTTTGTCATTTACCTTTTAACTTTGTACATGAGGTTTCATTTTTTTAACTTGAACTCCTTAATCCAACTGTAATTTCTTTTTCCACATTTTGCATTTAATTGATTCTAAGACCTTTTCTTATACATTTTAACATACCTGAAATTGGGACCCATCTTCTATAGATGGTTGTCTTAGATTTGATGTGACACAGTAATATAAGGCAGTGATTTTATTTTTTCCCAAATAGTTAAATTTTTTCACTAATACATTATTTTACTTCTGATTACATTCCATTTTTATTATATTTTATAAATGTTTATATATGTATATATATATACATATATAAACATTTATATATGTGTACACAAAACTTAGACCTGTTTCTAGATTACTACAGACCCCTGATTAGTCTAACTACCTTTGCCTTAGCAATATGTGCGGACTGCTACAAAAGCTTCCTAACAGTTCTCCATATCCATTCTAGCCTTCCTGCATACTACTTCCAAATACCTGTCAGAGTGTTGTTCTTAAAATACAAATCTCATCATGTCACACTACCTCAATCAAAACCCTTTAGTGGATCCCAACCGTCCTCAGTATAGTAACAAAATTCCTTAGTGTGGCATACAAGGTCCTTCATGATCTGGTGGCCGTCTATCTCCAGAATCTTTTCATTCTAGAGCTACACTGGCCTTCTGTTAGTTCTTCAAAACAGCCCAGGTCCTTCTTCTCACTAGGTCTCAATACATGCTGCCCCCTGTTCTCTGAATGCTGTTTCCCACCACTCTTCACGCGATTTGCTCCCACTGATACTTCAGGTCCCAGGCTAACTTAGAGTTAGTAGGAAAAAAAGATGAATCCTTCAGATTAAGAAAAGAATACCCTGACATGTACCACATATTGAAGGGAACTGGGGATGTGATGTGGTACAGGTATTTATGTGCATTTATTCCAATTTTTTCCTTTGCTCAACTCTACCCCAGGCATAATATAAGGGTAGCACAATGGCAGGCACGGGAAAAGAGAAGAGGTTAACTCCTTACGTTTTTCTTTCTCCTTTGTCTCAATGTGCTCTTTCACATGGAGTCTAAAAGCAATTATGAGAAGCAGTCTCCTATTTAAAACGCAAGTACCTGGGAAGTACCAGGCTGCTCCATTTAAGAGGGAAAAAATAAGCTGCTAAAACATCTAAGAATTTTTTTTAATTATGGAGTTGCTACAAGGAAAACTAAATAAAAATAAGATAACACTATGTTTAGAAACTATTCAATTTTCACTCAAAGAGAAATAAACCAACATTTTATAAAAGTTTAACAGGATTTTACCAACTTTTAGAATAGAAATTCACCCTAGAAAAGTATCTCCTTACAATAAAGCCCATGTCCAATTTAAAACTCTTATGCAGGTATGTGAACACTGAGTATTTCACACCTTCATTCATTTATCTCAACTTAAGTTGTTCAGAGGGGTTCAATGCAGTATGTATGCATATACTCTACTGGAGAATATTTTCATCAGAAGAAGAAATGTTGCAAAACAAAACGAAAAAACACAAAATAACAATAAAAAACTTTTCAAAATGAATTGGGATTGCCAAATTTAGAAACAATATTCAGTGTGGCAATGGGACAGCAAGAAAGGCATTTTCATACTGGAAGGTGTGTAAATAAATTGGTAAAACCTTTCTGGGAAGCAATTTTATAATATGTGCCAATAGTCTCCAGTAAGTTTCTCTCTTTAAGTCAATGATTCAATTTCTAAGTATTTGCCTTTAAGAAATAACCAAAAATATGAACAAAAATTTAGAATAAAAGCACACACAAACAGCATTTACTATCTGCGTGGCTCTCCTAAGGTTTTACAATAGTAATCCTCAAAGCAGCCCCATGAAGTAAGTATTGTCATTTTCCCCCACTTTACAGATGAAGGAACTGAGGCACAGGGAGGATAAATAACTCAAATAAGGTCAGAGTTTGTAAGTAGTTGGGCCAAGATTTGAACCTAGGCAATTAAACTGTAGAACTGACACTCTGAACTACTGATACTCTTAGCTGTTATATCATACTGTCTCTCTATATAAAGATGTCCAATACAGACAGAGTGAAAAAACTGGAAACAAATACCTAACAATAAGACAAGGGTTGACTAAACTTATATCTATTCATAAAACTGTATTAATCAGCATTAAAAATGTTTTTCAAAATTACCGATACTGACAAATACGATGTGTTACACGAGAAAGGCCACATTATAAAAACAATGTATATATTATGATTCCAATTTAAAAGGACACAGTAACATAATATTAAGACAGCCTATATAAGACATGTGGAACCCTGGTGGTTAAGAGCTCGGCTGCTAACCAAAAGGTCAACAGTAGGAATCACAGGGTTGCTATGAGTCAGAATTGACTCTACGGCAACTCATTTGGTTTTTTTTTTTGGTTTTATGTAAGACATATACATATACAAACCTTAGTTCAAAAACAAAACTTTAAATGCACAATACATGCATAATTTGTGAAATGTTAATGATACTGCAAACAAACTGAAAGGAAAAGCATTAACACTGAATGTATAACTAATGATCTTCCAGACACAGGAATTTTGAGTAAAACCTAAAAGTTCCCTCAACAGGACTGTCAAAACATAAAATTACAACATTACTTACTTTTTTTATCTGATGAGCCACTAAAATCTATACCACCAAGGCCTTCATTGCCTGCAGCTGAAGTAGCTGTAGTAGTTCCCAAAGTCAAGCCTAAAGCATTCTGTCCAAGTCCTACAGATAAACCAAACATCATTTACAAAGTTCATTGAAAGACTATAAAAATTTCCCATCACTGACCAAGGCACTCAAATGCTTTTAAGGTGGATCCCAGATTTTTTTCATACTCAATTTAGGAAAATGACAAGAAACAAGTTTAGAGCGGGTTTTGTACAAGGACTGATATTATTGCTTGACAGTATACATAGTTTGGATTATGTCTTTTTTTTTATTAAAAAGGGCAGGATGTATTGGTTAATTCCATTTTTATTAGGTACAGTGTGTTTTCAAACGGGCTCTATGGAAGCAGTTTTAATTTGCAGTTTCAGGTGAAAATATCTTGTCCTTCAATTACACATTAAATTTTGCATGATTTTAAAATAATCTAGTGTTTGAATTCTTAAGATTTTCGTATAATGTAAAGGAAATAACTGATAATTTAAAGTTCTTATGTACAGTTCAACAAACATCAGATTTCATACTCCTAGTTATTTTCAGGGCACACTCTGCTGCTAACTGAAAGGTTGACAGTTTTAACCCACCAGCCGCTCCAGGGGAGAAAGATGTGGCAGTCAGCTTCCATAAAGATTACAGCCTAGGAAACCCTATGAGGCAGTTCTACTCTCTCCTGTAGGGTCACCTCTAAGTCAAAATTGATTCGATGGCAACAGTTATTTTCATAAAAGTCTTTTTTTTTTAAATAAAGGAGTAAATTTCACTAACTTATTTCAATCCCATCTCATTGCCAAAAGGAATCAAAGGATCCAGACTACAGCTAACCGTAAGTCATTAATGTATGTTTATGAACTAACTAGCAAAATGTCAAATATCTTGTGTGGACCAATCTATATTTATGTAAGTTTATAAATTCCCAAGTTGATAGAACTGTTGTTCCTCTTGGACAAAATGCTATCTGTTTTAAGACTAGAGCAAACAGAAGAATGTACTAGTTAAGAGCATGGGATAACTGAAAACCGGGTTCAAATCCTAGCAATGCGACAAACACATAATAAATGACAACTAATACAATAAATAGTAACAGTCCTGGTGGCACACTCGTTAAGCACTTGGCTGCTAACTGAAAGGCTGGCCCGTTCTGTGGCAGATAAAGACGTGGTAGTCTGCTTCCGTAAAGATTACAGCCTTGGAAACCCTTTGGGGCAGTTCTACTCTGCCCTATAGGGTTGCTATTAGTCAGAATTGATACAACGACAATGGGCTTGTTTGTTAGTTTTTAATAATAATAAAAATAAAAAGTCAACAGCATCTTTAAGTTAATATAACCATAAAGTAAGCACTGAATATTGTCTCAGGAGTCTAAGAAAATTCAGGGCACGCCAATAAAACTCAGTAAAAAGAACTTATATAAAACTACTATCTACCTCTACTTTCTTTTTTTTTTTGTTTTGCTTTCACAGGAATCTTTGTGAGATATGTTTAAATATTTATCTCGCAAAGAAATATATGTTATAGTCATATAGTAATTTGGTTACTAGAAGGCATTCTGAATACCTACAAAGTTAGATAATGACAAAGGTAAGTATCTGAAAGAGTAATGCAAATTTTACAAATTTCCATAGGTAAAATCTACCCCCAGCCCCCCCACCAAAAAAAAAACCCATACAAATTTCTACAGGTCTGATTATCCTGACTCATTTTCTCACCTTCCACTGACTGGAATCTTCTCCATTAAATTTAGTACCTAAATAGAGGATATAAAGGCACCCTAGCTTCTTTAACAGAAAACATCAAGTCATATTCTTTCATCTCTCCCACACAACCCAGGTAGTGGACACATACTAGGTACTCCATAAAACTTACAAAATTAAATAGCCATTAAAAATTAGCCTGTGATTTCAATATGTATCAACTTCTCCAAATGTATAAATTGTTAAACAGAAATTCTTGATATTATATTGTTACATGCGATGGTTATACAATTTCTTCAATTAGCAAGAGAGTTTTTCTCACTCTCAAAAAGTCTGATTGACTTTTCAAAATATGAATGTCCTAAATGGTACAATCCAGACACCAATTCCATTAAATTACATCTATAATCAAGAATGCCTTTAAAACAGCCACTTGTTCTTTACATGGGCATTAGCTACAGCCACTATTCAAAACACCTGTGAAAACTTAGCATGAGGCATATTGAAAAAAAAAGAAGAAATAAGAAATCAAACTAAGATAAAATATTAATTAAGTCAATATTCTCTGCCAGGCATGTCAATACTTCAGTATTTTGTCTAATGACTATAACGAAATTAGTTAATATCTGTGTTTTAAAATCTTACCTTCAAAATATGCTAATACTCTTTCCTATAATGGAAAGCCATTCCTAGCATTATGGCTTAAAAGGACAAATGACTTTAAAACGAATTTAGGCTATTCAACCACCATTTATTAAAAAGACAAGTTTCTCTAGTACATATACTGACTTCTTAAATGGGCCTTTCTTTATATTTCTGCATCTTGCCAGTCAATACTGAGAAAAGATGTCCAACTATGTATGAAAAACATAATACAGCTTTCATACTAAAAGGAAAACATACAGGTTAAAGAGACAATGTGATCTGCTCAAAAGGACAAAGTAAAGAAAAAGTAAATTTAAGTATAAATATTTAACATTCCTAGAGAATAAATGTCAATTACCTGATGTTGCTGTATTGTTGCTCTGGAAAAGCGAACCTCCTAAGCCAGCTAAGGCTCCCCCTAAAGAAAGGCCTGTTGACGCAGGTGTAGTTGTGGCTGTTGTTCCACCCAAGTTATTCAGAGTAAATCCCGCGGAAGCTATAAAAGATGAGATAGCAAGCCTTCAAAAGCAACACTATTTTTAAGAACACCACAGAAAATTACAAGTAACTTTTAAAAAAAAATGATTTGTGTGATAAAATTGGCTCTTTGGAAAAACTACTCCTTAAAGACAAAATTATATATACCTGAGATAAACAGAAATAGCTTCAAAGCTAAAATCACGGACAGAAATAAGGGACCTGGGCAATACCAGAATGGTACTAGATAACTAGTTTCAGACAGTTATAAAGAGTTTTCAACCCAAGCTACGAACTTCACCTTCAAAATTAAATGAATCCTAAGCCAGGTAAGATTTATGCGAACTCTGTACCCTTCCCTGTCACCGAACTACTCCTTAAAAACAAAGTTGATGTTAAAAGCTGTAGATTTTACCTCTCTTACCCTCTCCCCTGCTCTGCTCTGTAAATACTGACCAAATCCCGAAATGGCCTTTGCTGCTTTAATGCCCAATGTTGATTTTTCTTCTTTACAAGTCAGTAATTTTGTCGGCAAAACTGCTGAATGATTGAACCAAAAATTTCCCCCAACTGAAGTTATGTTTAATAAAGACAGATACCTTTATTTACCAATCAAATGAAATAAAAATTTTAACCCATTAAACACAAATTCTTTTCCCATTCATCCTCACCTGCTGGAGCTGATGTCAGAGCAGATGAAAGAGTGAGACCACTAGCTGAGGTAGAAGCAATCGGTAGAGCAAATGGTGTGGCAGATGCTGCAGGCTTATTGAATCCTAAGCTGAAACCTGTTGTAGATGCAGATGTAGTGGCTGGTGTTCCTGTTCAAAAAAAAAAAAAAAAATCCCATTTTACCTGAAGTATAGGATCACTATGAGTCAGAATCGACTTGACAGCAACAGGTTATATGAGTATTAGATCAGTTTCAATCAGGATCCCCGAAAGTTTGTGTATGTGTGAGGAAAAAAAAAAATCACAGTTGGGACTAAATCATGGCAAATATTTAAAAGATGGCCCTGTAGATCCAGTCAACATAGGGATACTGCAATCTAATTTCAATTCCACTCCTAGATTTTCCTAGAACAGTGTTTATCCTCCCTCTTTCCCTTTCATCTTAGTAGAAAAATGAACCTGCTTCTCCAAGACTACTTAAATGACCATCTCTACTACTTAACATCTTCTTCCTTCTTGGCTTTTATGTTTCTATTAGTCCAGTCCTTTTTCTACTCCTCGTTAGGCATTTTCAGTCCTCTTTTATAGATATCCTTTCTCTGTTCGCTTCTTAAATGATATTCCCTAGAGTTCCATTCCTGCTCCTTTACTTGCTGAATGATCTAACTGGAGCTCCATGAGTTTAAGTCTGTATCTACCTGAGTCCCCCACTGGCTATCTGTTCTTGATGTCCCTTTGGACCTCTACATGTCCTGAGGTGAACTCTCTCATCCCTCCAAAAAAAAAACCTTCTTAAATTCCTCACTGTCAATTCAGTTGCTCAGGCCAGAAGCCACAATCATACTTGACATCTCCTCCTTCCCAGTATTCCACTAGTCACAAATCCCATCAATTCTACTTCAGAAATATCCCTGGATTGCAGGCATCCTCAAAAATCCTAATCAGGTCCTCCCTCTCTCAAGAACTATTACAGTAGCCTCCTCATTTGTAGCTCTGCCATCAGTTTCTTCCGATCTCTAATCTAGCCTTGGAATTATCTCGGTTATCTTGAAAAAAGGGACACCCTTTACTGTCTGGTCCCAACTTGCTCCTAAAACCTCATCTCTCCCTACCATTCCCTCCCTGAATCCTAAGCTCCCAGAATAAAAGATTTTTCATATTTCCCTGACCTCTTTTATGATTGGGCCTTTGCATTTTCTACTTCTCTGCCTGGAATAATGTTTCTTACTCACAAAATAAACCCCTACTCTGTTCTTCCTCTCCCTTCCACAGCGCCTCTCATACGTCCGTTCGGGCACTGGTCAGATTTCACAGAAACATTAAAATACATACCTGTCCCTGTCAGCTCACCACAGACTGAATCTTCCTGATGTACTCAGCAGTCTCTGACATCACCATCAGCACTATCCTCACTACCAGCCGCATCCACCAACAGCTAGTACTTAATGTTTAAGGCACTGTGCAGGGCATTTTGTATGTGTTTACTCATTTATTCATCACCATTATCATTCCTATTTTATACATGAGGAAGCTGAGGTTTAGAGAGGATATGTAACTTTACCCAAGGCCACACAGTGAGGATGCAGTAGCTGCTCAAAAAAATACTGACTGAATAAATGTATGGATAACCTGTATTTTGGCTTCTCCTGAAATCACTGAGAGGAAAGAGGCCAGAAATTATGCTTCTAGATTGCCCTGGCTACAACAGGAAGTTCCTGCCAAACTGCAGTGCTTTGAACTCATGCAACAACCTCAGAAACCAAGGGGGTGAAATAGCTTGCCCTTGTAGCCAATCCTGTCCAAAACTCTGGTGGAAAACAGATGTGCTGTGTTTTCTGCTGATAACAGGTAAGTCGCATCCAAGTGAAGAAAGTCTGTCACTCAATTTCATCTAAATATAGAAGGTTCCTTAATGTCCTTTCATTTCCCTTTCACATTCATTTACTTCCATACAGATTCAGGACAGGCTACAACCCTAGCTACTCCCATTCCTTTCAGAGTATGACTATCGGCAACCATGTTTTTGAGCTGGAGGAAAAGAAAAACTTTTTAGTCAAATAGTCTCATTTTATAGAGAACTAAAAGCTCCCAGAAATTACATGGCTATCTAAGGTCTTAAACAACTATTTAGTTACAACCAGGGCTACTCCAAGACTTCTGACTTCTAGCTTGGTGCCTTTTCCACAAAAAGGACCAAAAAATGACCGAAAAAAGTTAATGTGAAATAAATTTCCACATGAAGTCATTTCTATAGTTAAAAATTTTTTAATTAAAAAGGATCATATAAAATCACGAATCTTTTACAGTACTCAAATACTGAAAGCTTCTTTGGTCATTCAGTATCTGTGATCTATATTGTTTCTTACATGTTATCTACTATACCCCAGTATTAGACAAAAAAGAGAGAAAGGTCACTCAACTAATTCAAATTATTGGAAAACCACAGGTGTGAGATCTTTCCTCAAAGTCTTACCCAGAGTTAATCCTGTAGAAATTGTTGTTGCTATTCCTGGGGACAAAAAGAGAAATAAAATTTAATCATCAATACAAGGCATTCTTTTGGTTTATTTATCATAAAGGAAAGACTTAGACTCAACCTCAGGGTGTGATAACATTTCTAATAAGATCAATAGGTATCACAAACTATCTTCCACCATAACCACTAAGTAATACAAACATTTTTCCTATAGCACTAGTTTTCATATTACAAGCTGTTTATAATTTGATTAACTAGCAAATAAGAACAAACAACTTTTGCTCATAATGGCCAATTTGATGGCAGCTAACAACACAATTGCTTATAACAAAATTAAGCAAAGAGGTAAAAAAGCTACTCCAAGTGGAGCAGAGGAACTGACTGGCTGGCCTGCTCATTATTTACCCTGCAGTTCTTTCATTTTCTATGCATGGTTATGAAATCTGCTGCAATCAAAGCTGTAAGATCAATGCAAAAGCTGGTAACAAAGACCAAGAGGTTCTGGTGTTACAGAATAAAGTAAATAAGTAAGCAAATTCTAAAATGATCTGTTCCAGTGAAATGTTATTTGTAGCTTATAATAACAAAATGTCTGTACATGTTTAAAAAAAAAAAAAAAAACTTTTATTACTGAAATGTATACCAGAAACCTTCAAGTCCTTCACCTCTTACCCTTTTCCCATGAAAACAACTGTTCTAGTAACACGAAAGTTTAAAACAAGTTCTCTTAGTGATGTATTATAATGTTATTGCAAAGTAGGATGCTGACTGACCCTTATATGTTAAATTAGTTAATGTTCCAAATTGGGAAACTTAACTTAAACAACAATCCTCACTTACAATACACTGTAAAACGCTGTATTATGTAATCTAGTATAAAATTTTAAATTACCTTAACTCATTATACTTAAGGAAAGGAGGTATCAATGTATGTGTGTTTTTTTCCCTTTCTTACACTAGAGGAGATCATAGCCTATAACTGGCCTTATCGCTGGGCCTACTTCCAAATTCCCATATTTCTTTTCATCTTAGTATTTACTGTTTTTCAGATCTACCACTCTTGATTCTTTACAGTGACAATTCTTATAAAGGGAGGAGATATAGGACAGAACTTGGAAAAGAATAAATATTCCAAGCCCACTCCTTAAAAATTCAACACTCTTTCTTACCTGTATTTGTTCCTCCTAGAGTGAACCCAGTGGCAGGTTTAGATCCAAAAAGCCCAGTTCCAAAACCACCTGAAGACGCAGATGTAGTTGCAGGAGTTGCAGTGCTTCCAAGAGTTCCAAAATTCAGCCCCACAGAAGGGTTACTTGTTTATAAAAAAATAAAACAGAACAAAAAAGTCTACTAGAGTCAATATTTACTTAACAAAAACAAAAATGAACTCTTTAGGATTAATTATTTTTCTTTGTTGAACATATCTAACAGCTCCATTGGAACCAAAATAAGCCAACAATAAATTTACCTTTAACCAAGTTCAAAAATTTTTCTGTTCTCCTTAAAAATAAATGTGCATGTAAAATTATTCTTTTTTTAAAAAAAAAATAAAATTTTATTGGGTTTTCTGTGAAGGTGTACACAGCAATTTAGGTTTCCATTCAACACTTTCTATACAAGTGGTTCAATGACATTGGTTACATTCTTCACAACACTTGAACATTCTCGTTATTTCTGTTCTGGTTGTTACATTTCTATTAGTTTCCCTGCCCCCTTACATTCTCATCTTTGTTTCAAAGTAATTGCTGACCGTTTGGTTTCATGTAGGTAATTTTTTAAGGGGCATGTAGAAGTATTCTTAAAAAATAAAATACCAATCTGCAAGAGAAGCACAGTCCATAGCAATTAGGATTTCAGTCCAAGCAATCAGGATTAAGCATAAGCAGGTAGGAGTCACACATATTTTGCTTTCACTGGTTTGTTTCTATGATAGAAACCTAGCATATTTTAAAGGAAGTCCTATGAATATAGATCACTTTCCTTTCTAACTATATATGCAGTTTGTAAATTCATTTATTCTTCCCTAAATAACAATAAAAAGAAAAGTAAAACATATCCAGAAATAGAAAGTCATTCCAATTTGTCTTCCTCACCTCTCTTTTTCTCTATTACCATATTCACGAAGGGAGAGGTGTGGTTAGGTATCTTGCCACCAAAAAAGCAGTAAGAGGAACTTGGGGCTTAGGTCAGGGGCATATCCTAAAGAGTGAACCACAAAGCAAAATTATCCTCTATCAAAATTATGTGTTCATCAGTAGAAATCATCTTCAGAGAGATTTGAAAGCTTAAAAAGAGCAGCTGAAATATAAACAAGTGAATTTGAAAAATAAGAACGTTTCAACTGTTCTTATCAAGTTTCAGAGGCTGAAATTTGCTATTTATATATAGGTAAGAGGACAAATCATGAAACCAAGCAAAACATCTTGACAATTTGACACGTTAAAAATTATGGAAGAGATTATAACAACATGTACAACATAATGGGAAATCCCATTTATACTATATATTTATCCTTATTACACCTCTACCTGCCCATCATAGTGATATAATCATCTTGCGAGAATCCAATGTCAGTTTTAAAAAGTTTAATAATAGTTCTGAGATGTTTCAGTTTAAGTGGGAAGCAGTAGTGTTGAGACTGGATTCCATACCAGCTCTGCCACTTCCCATTTTGATGGCAAAATGAGAAAAACCCATTTTGATGGCAAAATGGGAAAAACAGTACCCATTTCATAGGGTTTTTAATAAGATTAAGACATCATACAGGGCGAATTAACTTCAGTAGTAGTAACAATAAATGTTGCTACTACCATTAACATTAGGAATACTTACAAATTCAACTAAACACATTACGTACAAGGCCCTATGCCAGGAGTAGCAAGGGGGTACAAAGAAGACTAAGATAGCCCGTCTTCAAGGAACATGTTGTTTACCAAGGGGATAAAATAACACAGATAACTGTAATCCAAGGTAGAATAGTTCTCCAAGATACTTGAATCCAAATCTTATCAGTTCCATAACCAGCCCACCGAACCATTCGGGTTTTGCATATATTCGTGGATTTGGGGAAGAGCAGCGTTATGATACAAGCAGTAGAAATTTATATCTTCAAAAACTTATAATCACTATATGCAGATTACTGTCAAACATATCACAGAAGTGTGAGGTGACGAGCTAATCACCGAGGGAAATGGAGAGAGAAGAGCTTGTTAAGGAGGTAGAACTTGAGATGGGTCATAAACACTTGAGCAGAAAAAGAGAGACGAAGTACAACTTAAGCATAGAACTTTATATATTTAATCAACTGAACAACTAAAACAGTATTTTAAGAAACATTATCAGCAAATTTTGAAGACATCAAATTGGAAAAATGGTTATTATGCTCCCTTTACTCCCAGATGAATGACCCCATTTTTCAGAGCTGTGCTATACTTGTATCCTATAAACATACAAAAGATGTACAATGAAAGGTATGTATTACTAGACAATGAATTAATTTTTTTTAATTTCTTGACAAAGTAAGATAACTGAAGACACTGTGAGGTATTTAGTAAAGTTGAAAATGTTACCAAAAAAAATTTATCAAAGAGAAAATCTTTCTTCTTACTCTACCGGAGAAGTAAAAGAGAAATTTCTCTGTGGCAGCAAAATTTACTTAAAGCAAGGAAAACAAATGCTACAGTAAATCCAACAATTATTGCCTCAACCCAGTACTAACTGCCAGTGATTCCACGGGATGCACTGTGGAAAAGCAAAATTGACTCCATCCGGTCAGAAACGATATTTTAACTTCCCCAGCCTGACTTAAAGAAGCCCTGGTGGTGCAGTGGTTAAAGTGCTTGGCTGCTAATTGAAAGGTCAGTGGTTTGAACCCACCAGCCACTTCACGGGAGAAAGATGTGACAATCTGCTTTGTGTAAAGATACAGCCTTGGAAACCCTATAGGACAATTCTGCTTTGTCCTGTAGGGTCGCTATGAGTCAGAATCAACTCACTGGTAACAGGTTTGGGTTTTTTTGTTTAGCCTACCTTAACTGTGGACTTAGAAGTCAACATAATAGCTAACATTTACTGAGCACTTACCAAAATGCGGTGCCCAGGTGGCATAGTGGTTAAGAGTCTGGCTGCTAACCAAAAGGTCAGCAGTTCGAATCTACCAGCGGCTCCTTGGAAACCCCCGGGGCAGTTCTACCCTGTCCTATAGGGTCGTTATGAGTCGGGATCAACTCCATGGCAACGGGTTTTGTTGTTCTGGTTAACCAAGATGCGCTTACACGATGCTAGATAATTAACGTTTTATCTCATTCAACAATGCTCTGAGGTTAAGTATATTATTATACATCTTTTCCAGATGTGGGACCTGAGGCCTGGAGAGTAAGTCACCCAAAATGATTTACTGAAGGAGACAAAATCACTGTCATGGATTGAATTGTGTCCTGCAAAAATATGTGTATCAATTTGGCTAGGCCATGATTCCCAGTAATGTGTGATTGTCCAACATTTTGTCATCTGATGTGATTTTCCTATGCGCTGTGAATCCTCTCTCTCGGATGTTGATGAGATTAGCCGCAGTTGTGTTAAGGAGGCAGGACTCAATCTAAAAGACTGGATTGTGTCTTGAGCTACTCTCTTTTGGGATATAAAATAGAGAAGCGAGTAGTGAGACTTGGGGACCTCATTCTACCAAGAAAGAAGTGCTGGAAGCATAGCATGTCCTTTGGACCTGGGGTCCCTGCACGGAGAAGCTTCTAGACCAGGGGAAGACTGATGACAAGACCTTCCCCCAGAGCCAACAGAGAGGGAAAGCCTTCCCCTGGAGCTGGCAACGTGAATTCAGACTTCTAGCCAACTAGACTATGAGAGAATAAATTTCACTTTGTTAAAGCCATTCACTTGTGGTATTTCTGTTATAGCAGCACTAAATGACTAAGACAATCACCAAGCGGTACTAGGAGCTATCAGGTCTCCAGGCCAGCACTCTAATGGGCAGATGTCTTCTGTCATTAATTCACCCAAAACCTTCTAATGTCTGCGTATATTTTTCTAGTTCATTACCAAATAATTCATTTATTCAGTCATTCAACAAGTATTTACAAGGTTTCTTTTCATATGCCAGATACCATCCTAGGGGCTGAGAACAGAATGGTAAATAAGATTAGACCCTGCCCTCAGGGAGTTTCCAGTTAGTGAAAAATAGATATTAATTAATCATTCTTTCACTCAACAAACAGGTTCTGAACACCAAGCACAACATCTACTGTGAAAAGATAGATAAGGCCTCTACCCTCACGGAGCTTACATTCTAGCGCTGCGATCAGACAATAAACAAGTAACAATACCTTGAAAGCACCTTAAATACAGGGTACTAGAGTAGAAACCTCTTCTAGACAGACAGGTCAGAGAAGGCTTCTCTGGGGAAGTGACCATTTGGGTCCCAAAGGGTAAGTAGGCATTAGCTAGGGACATGGGGTAGGAGATAGGGAACATTCTAAACAGAGGGAAAGGAGATAGGGAACATTCTAAACAGAGGGAACTGCCCTCAAGTGGGAAGGGGCTTTGCCAAGTCCATTTGAAGAACTGAGAAAAGGCCCATGATGCTAGAGCAGAGTTTTCAAACCAAGATGAGGACCCATTAAAACCCGCTGCTGTGGAGTCAATTCCAACCCATAGCGACCCTATAGGACAGAGCAGAACTGCCCCATAGGTTTCCAAAGAGTGGCTAGTGGATTTGAACAGCCGAACTTTTCGTTAACAGCCATATCACTTAACTACTGTGCCACCAGGCCTCCGAGGACTCATTAGAAGCTATAGAATCAATGTAGTAGGTCACATCTAGTTTTGTTTTGTTTTTTTTTTAATGAAATGGAACAGAACATTGTTGTGGTTAGCTGCCAGCTGAGTTGGCCCCGGACTCATGGAAACCCCATACTGCCCAGCCCTGCACTATCCCCATGATCATTCTGCAGGTCAGACAGTTGTAATCCATAGGGTTTCACTGGCTGATTTGCAGAAGCAGATTGCCAGGCCTTTCTTCCTAGTACATCTGAGTCTGAAAGCTCCACTGAAATCTGTTTAGCATCATAGCAACACACAAACCTCCAATGACAGACAGGTGGTGGCTGCACATGAGGCGTACTGGCTGGGTATTGAGCCCAAGTCTCCCCCACAGAAAGTGAGAATTCTACCACTGGACCACCAATGTCCGCTATGTGGTACAGAAAAGATGCATTACATGAAGTAAGAGTATATACCTTTCTTTAAAACTTTATTTCAGTTATTTATTTGTGTAAGTATACTGGGTGGTAAAGTAAATGTTATTTTTTATCTTTTTAACAGTAGGCCTGGATCACTCAATTGGAGCAAACTAAAATGAGAAGATGGGTTTAAGTGAGTAAAGGGATTCCAGATTATTCAGGTCTTGCAGACTATGATAAAAAATTTTAATTTCATTCTACGGGTAACGGAAAATCACAGAAGGGTAGCAAAGGGCACTTAAAATAAAAATCTCTCTGGCTACATGTGGCAAAAACATTGATACAGGAGATGACAGAAGCAGTTTTCATCGAGCATAAGAAACGCTGATGGTTGGAAACCTGGCAGGAATCAAGTATTTTCATAAGAATATAAGCTTCCGGAGAGCAAGAGTCTTATTCATCTTACTACCTAAAACAAAGGCTGGCACATAGGAATTGGTTCAATAAATGTTTGTTCTATGAAGGCAACAGCTTGGAGCAAGGTGGTGGCACTGGAAATGAAGACAAATGGAAATCACAGAAGTAAAATTACCAGGACTTGCTGATTAAGTGCCTAGAGTGAGAGGAAAATTTTGATTTCTAATTTTGGCTGTGTAGTCTGCGGCGCACTCCCCTCTCCTTAAATACAAGAAACACTTAAATATTTTTGCATTTTTAATCTACTACCATATCAAGCTCCAGGAGGTATCTTGTAGCTCTTCCTATGCATACTTGATTTTATGCACTCCTCTGCCTTTACCTTCAAAAGACGGAGTTCTAAAGATGAACTCTCTCATCATAAATGATTTTTCACCATTTTTACTGCATCTTTGTGGACCTCGGCTAGCTGTATTTTTGTCACCACCTGTCCTCACAGGTTACATGAAAACGTTAGATTTACCGCCTACGTTTTGCAATTTAAGTGAAAGACAATGTGAGAAATCACAATACTTTGATGATCTAGAGAATGTTGTTTTCAGTGATGAAATGTGGCAGACTGTAATACCGTTTGCCAAATATTCCAATTTCCCGACATACTGCACAAAATTATCACCAATAAACACTGCAAAAATGATTTTAAAAAAGACTTAAAAAGGTCGCTAAAAATAATCACAAAATCACTAGAACACCACAATATCCAAAACCGTAAGCACTTTAGTGGAAGCTGAATTATCAGAGAGAAGCTTTTAATGGTCCTCCTTACAAATTTCCATTCATTAAACGTCTTTACGTAAAACTCTACAATAAACCATAATTTCATTCATTCTTTCAACATTCATCTCATGCCTTAAGACTGACGCCTCGCTAAGGCTCTGGGCTGTGAACTCCAGGCCCTGTCATCCAGCCAGGCCCCGCTTGGTCGGAACAAAGCCTGAACCACCGGTGGATTCTGGAGACCTCACAAACCGTCCGCCCTCCTCCCAGCCAGGCTGTTGCAGGGCACTGGCTGAGTTGGCCACAGGGAAGCCACAGGGAAGGAAGCCAGCGGGAAGAGGGTCAGGGCCACCAGAGAATCCCGCCGGCGAAGACCCGGGCTGGGAACGCGAGTACACGCGGTTACCTAGATGCCCCTGTCCCGAAGGAGAAGCCGCCGGCTGTGCCGGTCCCGCCGGCGGCGACGGTGGTGGAGCCCAGGGTCCCGGTCCCGAAGGAGAAGCCGGCGGACATGGCTGCACCCTGGACCCGGCGCCGTCGGCAAGCTGGAAGAGTCTGGACCGCTCCTCTCGCCTCACCGCCGCTGCGGACCCAACAACATCGCTTGCACCAGCTCCGACCTGGCGGGAACTTCACGCCCAGGGGCGGCCGGGACTAGGCCGAAGGGGTGGGTGGAGCAACGCACGCACTAGCTCGTCGGGGCGCTCGTCGCTCGTCGCTCGTACGTACTGCTGGGAGCGAGCCCGCGTCGCAGTGGACGCTGGGACTGGGGCGGGGTCGGCGCGCGGCCGACTTTCTTAAAGGGGCAGGCGCCCAGAGTGAAAACAAGATGGTAATAAACGTTTGTCTTTTTTATTTAGTTCTTTTACTTTGGTGTCTGTGCTGACGCAGTCTGTACTTTGCGGCTTTGAGTCTCGATCAGGGCTTATGTCCTTCCTACTGGACGTGCAGAATCCCAGAGTTGTGAAGGGGCCTATAGAGCATCTCTTAAGTCCCTCCTTTTACAGCACGAAGGCCTCCCCTTCCCTGAGAAGGAGGGAGAGCGAATTGGCTAACTGATGCTGTCAGCAATTTCGGAAATTAATAATTCACCTATCCCTTCAACATACTGAGCTTCACCTATGCTCAATAAGTTGCAGAGACCATTTCGCATAGTCGAATCCCGCAGCCATGAACAGGCCTTAGGACTGGCCCGATGGAGGTGTGGGGCGCTGGCTCTGTTCGTGGTGCTAAGGAAACGGCACTGTCCAAGGCCCTGTATCTCATGATTTAGTCAAGCCAACCAGTCGTGTCAGCATATCGTAGTGGAAGAACGTGGGAGGTGAAGCCGACCAGGAGGGCGCTCCGATATCCTCTGTGCTACCTACTAAAGGAACCATACAGTGGGAAAGGAGAAGAACGCTATAGAAATAAGTATGACGTAAGGCAAAATTTATGAGTTACATGAGCAACGTCAGAAAACTGTGGGTTCCAAAAAGTTATTTCCTCTTCTGGGAGGATCAGGAAAGGCTTCATCAATAGTATAATATAGGTGCCGCCATCATAATATGAGTCTTTATGTTGCCATTGGGAATTGTTACATTCGCCTCCCCAGATGATTTTCCTACCTAAGTTCTGTTTCCATAAAATCCATCCCGTAAGCAACTACCAGATTATTTGTTCTTCTAAAATATAATTGCCACCGTGACAGTGGCGTGATAAGAAACTCCCAGTGGCTCTTTAGTCTGGCACCCAGCATCCTCCGTATGACCCAGCTGTCTAACCTCATCTCTCGCAATTGCCCTGAATGCAACAATTTCTCCCGTTGAGACTGGGCACTCCTGCCTCTGTTTGTAGAATTAAAAATAGATAAACACCGTTTTAAACTTTATGAAGGTCATATGATAAAACAAAAAGGAAAGGGAAAGGAACATATTTGAAATACAGTATAAAGAAAAAATTCATAGTGATTGAGCAATAATAAACATTATTATGGATTTTACAGCTTCGATGAATTAGACTTGTTTTCAATGATGGATATAGAATGGTCAGTAAGAAGACTATAGATACAAAATTTAAATGTACTTCCTTTTGACTAAAAAAAAAAAAAAAAAAGACCCAGATGACGTTGCAGGAAGATAGAAAGCTGCTCCTTATGTCTTTTCATTCTCTAGTATAGTTCCAAAATTTCTGAAGAATGTCAAAATAAAATTAGGACAAGTAAAATGCCCAGCACTTAAAAAATACTTTTTGATTAATAATAAGACACGTAAGATTAGCTGGTTGGTAACAGCTTATAAAAATATCATAGGGGCTCTTGTAAGATATTATGGACCCCTGGTGGTGCAGTGGTTAAGAGCTCAGTTGCTAACCCAACATAGGCAGTAGGAACCCACCAGCCACTCCACAGGAGAAAGATATGGCAACCTGCTTCTGTAAAGATTACAGTCTTGGAAACCCTATCAAACAGTTCTGTTGTGTCCTATGGTGTCACTATGAGTCAGAATCAACTCGATGGCAATGGGTTTTTGGTTTTATTGTAAGATATTAATAATTGGGTGTAGGGTACAAGGGAACTGTCTGTAACTATCAGTACAAAAATTCTATAAATTAAAACTTGTAAAATAAAAGGTTTATTGAAGAAATAAAGTAGGGAAATCTGACTGAGACAAAAAGGTTTGTTTTTGGTTTTTTGAGCCATTCAGATTGACAAGCGAACTATTCTTTCAATTTCATTTTATAAAAATTTTTGTATGGCATTTATGCTTTGTATCTAGCAGAGTAGTTTAAGTTCTGCTGCAATAACAAATGACACCAAAATCCCACAGGAAGAAGTACTACAAAGTGGGAAATTGGAATATTTGACACACAGTATTACAATCTGTCACAGATGCACCAAGTGTTAGACTGGACCTGAAAGATCTTTTCTCATCTTACCTACCTGCTGCTGTTTGTCCTATTAGCAAAGAGAAAGAGAGAGACGGGGGAAAAAAAGAAAACCCTTTACATCCTCTCTACATTCTACAGAAACAAAACTCCAAAGGAAACAGTTTTAATAGGCCCAATTATTTGGTTACTAAACTGAAAACTTGACAGTAAAATGGCAGTAAGCTGAGCTTCATGCCTATTGAACCTTATCCCCCAACCAGGCAAAAGCGTGGAGCACTGTAATTTGGCTTAACATTCCTTACCTAGTGAGGGTAACAAATCCTTATTACAAAGAAAGTTCCAAATACTACTCTTTGACATTAATGGGGACCTGACCCATGTGTCAGTTCTGCATGAATTACTGCTTTCCAAGGAGGAAGCAAGTGATTCAGATTCTAAATTCTATGGCAAGCTACTTTGTTTCCCTTCTTTTATTATGAGAATTCTGTTCAGAAACTCCATCTTTTGCTGATTTGCTTGCTGGATGATGACATTGTTAATGTCATAATCAGACTGAATTATCTGAAAGGCAATAGCATTGTAAAAAAATTCTAGTTTGTATTTACAATAAATAGCTAAATAGGCTTGCTGTGGTGGTGTGTTCAGATCAGGATAACACTTTGAGAAGCATCGTTTGAGAGGCTTTAACACAGAAAGTATGTAAGACTCTGAAGTATATTTAAAGTGATCTGTAGTATCTATGGCTCTAATCCTCAGAAATACTCAAGAGAGAGGTTATCTTTTAGAAACTACGCACAACATTTGCCTTCAGCCTCTGTCTTGTAAATTATTCTCAGAAGAGGTTTATTTATTTGGCTTTAAAGATTTAGATAGTATCATTCTTCTTTAAAAATCCTATTAAATTCTCAGACTCAACAACAACCACAAAATGAATATAGAGAGATAGATCATTAATAAAAATGTGACTAAATGTTGACCATTGGTAACACTCAAGCAAGGTATATGGGTGTCAATTATACTACTCTTTCAACTTTTCTGTAGGTTTGAACATTTGCAAAATAAAATGTTAGAGGGAAAAATGCCTAAAGCTAGAGCAAAAGTTCACACTCACAGGTCAGAAGAGTCATTGTTTACTAATGAGCTTTTCATTCATGACCCAAGAAATGAGAAAAATAAAAGCAATAGAGGGAGTTTTCCATAAACCTAAACGAACTCCATTTTCAGTGCGGTCATTTATTTTGAAATTAGGTTCTTGCTATTGGTGAGGGTGGTGGATGGGACATGAAAAAGTTGCCTTGATGACCTGATAATGATAGTGGATGGTAGTAATTTCTTTTTAGAAATCTTGCTGGACAAAATAAAATGCTAGCAACTCTTTAAACAATTCTATTGAGAAGGCTTAGAATGTCTGCCTCAATCTCTGTACACATTAGGAATGCAGTGTAATAGTGGGCAGAAACATTGACAGGAAACAAAGTCATGTAGCTATAAAAAATGAAACCTGGTTAAGAAGTAGGAAATACTAGGGGTTATATTTGTGTCAAGGGCCCTGGGTGGCACAAGTGATTTGTGATTGGCTTCTAACCTAAAGGTTGGCAGTTTGAACACATCCAACAATACCATGGAAGAAAGGCCCAATGATCGACTTCCATTAAGATTACAGTCAAGAAAACCCTATGGAGCACTTCTATTCCGTAACACATGGGGTCACCATGAGTTGGGATTGACTTGATGGCAATGGGTGTTTGATGTTTGGTTGTTTTTTATTTGTGCCAGCAGAAAATTCTTGTGAGAGAAGAAGAAAGACATTATGTACAGCTGTGGATGACAGCCAAGATCAAAACTCATTATAAACTAATAATCTGGCAGTCCTTGAACATAATTTTTTTAAATGTGGGAAAATGCACTTGGACCAAAGTCTAATAATAAAATAACATAAAATAAATAAGTGTAGCTATCTAGTTGCTACCAATACTCATACTTTCCTTCTTCCTTAAAATCTCAGTTTTGTTCAAGGTGATTCACTAACCAGATACGAAAAAACCCACTGCCATCGAGTCGATTCCAACTCATAGTGACCCTATAGGACAAAGTAGAATGGCCCCATAGGGTTTCCAAGGCACGCCTGTGGATTCAAACTGCTGACCTTTTGGTTAGCAGCTGTAGCTCTTAACCACTATGCCACCAGGGTTTCCACTAACCAGATAAATGACTAGATGTTCAAACCTCCTTACAGGAAGACATGGCTGATTCGATATTAATGGGAGATATGATGTGAGACTTCCAGGATGACCCATTTAGAGGTGGATGGATAGCTGGTATATATCCTTTTTGCCCTCCCCCTTTCCTCCTTCCTGCTGCCTGGAACTTAAACACAATGGCAGGATCTCCAGCAACCATTTTGGATCATGAGGAACCTTAAGAATGGAAGCTATATGCTAAGAAGGGTGCAGCAGAAAAATAGTATTAGTCTAGGTCCCTGATGATACCATAGAGCCACCATACCAACCCTGGACTACCTACCTTCAGACTTCTTTTAAAAATAAGCTTCTATTTTGTTTAGGCCATTATAGTTCAGTCTTTACTATTCATGGCTAAATTTAGTATGCCATCTTTAGAAATAATCCACCCTCAAAGAGGAATTTTTTATGTGTTACAGAGGAAACCTAGGAAATATCCAAGATTGATCAAGGTTTCCAGAATATCTACAGTACTGGAATATAACAATAAAAGCAGCAACAACAACAACCTTTTATCTAAATAACTGTCTTGAAACAGCTAG